CTCTCACTCCATCGATCTCACTCAGTCGATCCCACCACATCGATTTCTGAGAGATCGCTCGCGAGACCCGCATCCAACGCCTCGAAGCGGTCCCCCGGTATCCCGAGGGCCTTTCGAGGCGTGGTGGGTATGGGCGCCTGCCTGCCCCAGGGGGAGCGGGGGTGCGGCCACCTCCGCCGCTCCCCAGGGGCGCCGGGCAGGGCTGCAGAGGGGGGTGTCCGGAGCCTCGAGTTACGTCGGGCCTGTCCCTCCACAGGGGGGTTTTTTTTTTTTTTTTTTTTTTTTTTTTTTTTTTTTTTTTTTTTTTTTTTAAAAGTCTGGGGAGCATGTTTTGGGTATTTTTGAGCATGTTTTTGGTGCTCTTGAATGTTTTCAGTTTTTCGCCCAAAATCCCCCCGTGGGGGGACGGGCCCGACCGAAGCCTCGAGACGGGGGTCGGTGCCAGCGGGGGTTCCGCCAGAGCGCCAGGTCTTGCCGGGTCCTGCAGAGCCAGGGCTGCGCTGGCCAGGGTCAGCGCGTGCATGGTCCTGCAGGATCTCTTGCAGGATCCTGTGAGGCCTGACTGACCCGGGTTGGGATTGACCCGGGTCCGTGCGTCCCCGAGGGTATAGGGGGGAGGGGGGAAGGCTTCTCAGAAGGACCACTGCTTCATAGACGTCGCGGGCCTAATCCGGCGCCATCTAAGAAGCAGCCTCCTTCTGAGAAGCCTTCCCCCCCCCTGCCCCCCCGTGCGCGCAGAAGGGAGATCGAACAACAAAATAAGGTATTACGACGCGTCGTCATAAGTTACACCCTGGCGGCAGAATGCTCCGAACGACACACGGAAATAGTGAAGACAGCGTTCTGCTACGCTGTTCGCTGTGCATCCGGGAAGGCATGCGGCATGTTCATGCGGCGTTGGCGCGCCGGCGACGCCGGCGAATGCGTCGAAGGTTGAATCTTGCGACGCGGAAGCGCCGATGGACACGGTAGCGTCGCTGGACACGGCAACGTCACACGGCAACGTCAGCGGACATGCCAATTTTCAACCTTGAGCGATCGGGGCCGCGATCGTTTCAAGGCCGAACGATCGACGCGGTGGCAAAAACCTTGGCGCGCGCCGACGCCGCGCGAACTTACCCGTGCGGGAGACCAGACAGGAGGCCACACCGTTGGCCACGGGCCACCGGGTCCAGGCCCCGAGGCTGCGCGCACGGGCTTCAGGAGACGTGCTCTGCGGGCCTCTGCGCGCGCGAGCTGCTCGGGGAGAAGCGCTCCGGAGGCCCCGCGCGGGCCTCGTTGCCTCGGCGCTAGCCAGAGGAGCTAAAAGGTCATGAGAAGTGGGCGTCTCGTAATTACTGGGGGGGGGGGGGACGATGCATGGGACGGCAGCGAGGGCTGCAGAACATGGGCCTTGGAGGGCTCCTAGAGGGGCCCTTTTCGGGCCCCAAGGGGGCCTTTATGGACGTGCACCTCTCTTCTCCCCCCCCGATGATCGCCCCCCCAATCAAGCGACGCCCAAGAGAATGATGCGTTCCGAGATTTCCAGGATGTCCCAGGCTTCCTGATGATCCACAGGGGCTGCAGGGACGGGGGCCGCTGGATATCCTGGAAGGCCTGCAACGCATCTCCTGAGCCAGTCCTGTCATGACAGTTCTCGTCCTGTCTGGACCCCCCCTCCCCGGCACTCCTGGCGGCGCCTCCAGCGCCGCACCTGGTGCCATCTGCGAACTCCGCGCGCCAGGGAGGGGGGGGGTCTGGGAGGGGAGGGGAGGGGAGGGGCCAGCGCCAACCCCATAAAGTCGGGCGACGAAGTCGATGTATCTCTTTCTTTGCACCTACCTAGCTATTTATCTATATGGCTAACTATATGTTGTACATATGTACATAATCACATATACAGATATCTTCATTTAAAAACTAGTATCAGGCAATATATATATATATATATATGTGTATATATATATGCCAGTACATAGCTAGATTTGCCGATCATACCTGTACATATTTATTTATGCATATATATATATATGCACACTTATGTATATATGTATGTATGTGTGTATACATATGTCGATCTACATATCTATATGTCTATCTATCTCTCTATCTCCCCTGCTCCCTGGCCAGGGCCCAAACTGAGCCTAGGAGCTGTGCATACGCCCTCCTGGCCAAGCCAGGAGGGCGAGGCGTACACACTCTGGGAACGTTTGCGGCCATGTCTCGTTTGCGGCTAGCAGACAGCATCCAGCTGCTAAGGGGCGGAGACGACTGGGCAGCTGGAAGACAGCACACCACAGGATATATATATATATATATATGTATATGAACCAGGCGTGTCCAGCGAAGGTTGCTTTTGGTTGTGAAAAATATGGCCCTCCCTGGCAGGGCGCCCCCTCTGGCCTCAGCATCTCGAGGCGTGGTCGTGCGCTCGCCTCCTCCACCGGTCGCTTTTTGCCAGAACCCTCCGACGCGGGCCGTGTCCTGTGCGCGCAGGGAACAGTTTGTGACCCTGCACGAGGAGGCTCTCGGCGAGCCGGGGACGCTGCCCTCGACGCTGGCGTACAGGAGGTGCATCAGGGCCCTTCTCGCGGGGTCCCCGAAGACGTTGATGGGCATCGCCGGGGAGCTGCTGTGGGGGACCAGGGCTGTTCTCGCCTGGCTGAACGAGATTGCGTGGGCCCGACAGAACGTCATCTCACTGCGGTCGCGGCTTTGACATGCGCACGCTGGGCAACCTGTTGTGCCCTCGACCGAGCTCGCTGGGAAAGCTTCTTCAGCATCCCTCTTTCTCCCTCCTCATCCTCCTCATCCTGCCCACATTTCTCCTCCTCTTTCCCGTTCTCACCCTGCGACTTCTCTTCCTCCCCTCCCCCCTTCCTCCCCTTCCTCCTCCTCCTCCTCCTCTTCCTCCTTTCTCCTCCTCCTCCTCCGTTCTCCTCCTACGCCTGCTCTCTCCCTGCTTCTTTCCTCTTCAACCTCCTACGTGCTCCTCCATCCTCGTCCTCATCCCTTCCGCCGCCCCATTCCTTCTCCCCATCTTCATCCGTACGATGCGTAGGAAGCGCAGCGTTGCACGAAGACAGAGTGGGGGCGGAGGCCCCGTACAGTATCCTGAGCATGCCTCTTTGCCTCTTGGCGGGTCCAGATGAGGATGAGGAGGAGGAGGGGAAGGAAGGAGGGGGGCAGCATGCCCTGCAAGTACACGCCAGTCGTTGCTAGTAGTTGCCCTTGGATTCACAGATCCTGATGTACCTCGAGCGCCTTCCTGCTTCCAGGGTCGTTCTGTTTTTGTTATCTGTTGTTCTTCTCTGGGCGGGCCCAAACCGCTTTTGCCCAATCAGTGCCTACACTGAAGGGGTCCTAGCAGAAATTGGAAGATTTGGCGAAAGTGGCCCGCCGATTTTCGTGGCCGGCTGAGTTCTGGGTTCCCTGGTTCCTGGTTATTGGTTCCGGGCCGATTTCGGTGGGTCCCGGGTTCCCGGGTTCCTGGTCGATCTCCTTATCGATCGAACCATCCACTGATTGGGTTTTTTCGCTGGCGTAATTCTGTTATCCGCCTTCCTACTTCATGCTTCCACGTGTCTCTTGCGACTGGCGGGTCAGCTGGACCCCTCTCGGCGTGTCGGGATCTGCGCAGAGAGAAAGAGAGCGTGTGCGCGGGCGGCTGGGCTCCCCGCCCTGGTCCGCTCCCTCCTCCCCTCCCGGACCTCTGTCGCCCCAGGCTTGGTCTTCTGGCCGCCGGCCCCGCACCTCTCGACTCTCTGGAGGTAGGACAGGGGTGTGGTGTAAAGGGGTGTGGTGCCAGTCGTGGAAGCGGCGATGCTATGTACGATCGATCACCTCGCCAAATCCAGCTTTGGCACCACAACCCTTTACACCACACCCCTGTCCTACCTCCAGAATTCATCCCTTCTTCGGGACTGGTTTCCGTCGGGAGGCTCTCGCAGTGCCTGGGGACTGGAAACACAGGGCAGTGCAGGGGGGGGGGGGGGGGGCAGAACGCGCAAAAGCAGCGCCAGGCCGAAGCGGGGGGGCAGACGGACGGATGCAGACGCAAGGAGGGGCAGGCCCGCCCCCCCCAACACACACACAGCACACAAACACAAGCACAAGAGGATGAGCAAGAACACGACCACGAACACGAACACTAACACGAACGCGAAGGCGAGCACGAGCACGAACACTAGCACGAACACACGCACCCGCAACCGCACACACAATTATGAAGACACGTACCACTTCACATGCACACATACACATTACACACATGCGTGCATACACGAATACATGCACTTACACGCGTACGCATAACACACTTACCACACATACACAGAGACACACACATGGACACGTACACACATGCATACATATACACATACACACGTACACGCATCCACACATACACATGCACGTGCCTATACAGATATGCACCGACCTGTTTTTTTGGGAGTGGGCGTTTAGTGGTCATTCGCGGCGAATAATTAGGGGGTGGCTCGTGGACGGATGACGCGTGGCGTATGCCGCTATTTGCTACTAATCCGTTGCCGCCATTGGGTGTTTGGCCCGCCAGTGGAGCCCTTGGCTGTGACCTGGCGTCCATTCCGTTTTCTTTCCCCGCCCCCCGTCTTTTCCTCCTCTCTTTCTCCTGCTTTCCTTCCTTCCTCCTCCTCCTCCCGGGCCCCTTCCTCCTCCTCCGCCTCCTCCTCCTCCTCTCTCCTCTCCTCCTCCTCCCTCCTCCTCCTCCTCCTCCTCCTCCTCCGCCTCCTCCTCCTCCTCCTCCTCCTCCTCTTCCTCCTCCTCCTCCTCCTCCTCCTCCTCCTCCTCCTCCTCCTCCTCCTCCTCCTCCCCTGCCCCGAGTCGGCGGCCCAGGCTTCGGCCACGTTCGCCGAACAGCGTCGTTTGCCGCTGACTGCCTGCTGGTTCAGTTTCGCAGCTCGGCCTGGGTTAGGGGCATTTGTCCGCAGGTCCTAGTTGCTTTCAGGGAGGTGTCTTTCCGTGGGGGAGGAAAAGCACCGAAT